TCCTGCAGTACTTTGAAACTCTTGTCAAGCAAAAGATCACTTTCCTTAAGTCTTGTTAAATTCTGTGGACACAATATCCATTCGCTGATGGGGCTGTTTCACTTAGCTGAAAGTGAGCACATCCTTCTTACTCAATAAATACTTCTAAAATGGTGGAAACAGATCAATAATATGGGAGATAAGTTACTTAGAAATAAACCAATGCTTCCGAGTCACACCACCACATGTGGCTAACCTTTCAGGCCCAGAGTACAATAGGAGGAAAAAATGCACTTGAACTTGCATATTCCACTGTAGACAAGACAAAGGTAGTCATACACATTTATCAAGACATTTTTTACTGTACCTACTTGGATCGAAGATGAGAATTTTTTCCTCCTTTCAACATAGGAAAATAAACCTCCTGGTCTTAAATTTCAGTATGGCCTGGGGACAGGTGGTGGCTGCAGCCAGAACCTGCCACAGGCTGGGGGGGCTTGTGGAGCAGGGGGAACACAGAGGAGATTGACCAGTGCATGGTTCAGGGGGAGTGCAGGCAGGAGGTGTGTGGCAGGGGAAGTGCAAGGAAGACTACACAGCGACAGAGAAGCCACAGCTGCTACCTGCCCCACTGCCACTGCTGGTGTCTGGCTAGGCTTGATCCACCATACGCTCCATGGGCCTGGCTAGGGGGCAGGTCCATGGGGGCAACTGGAGCTGGCAAACGGATTGGTGGGGGAAGGAGTTCAGTGGTCTGCTTTCCCTGTCATAGTGGTGGTGGAGGGAGGGGAACTAACTTAAGATGATCCTCCAATAATTAGATTCTATACAAGGACAATTATAACAAATATAACAAACATGATGAAATGAATAATTTTCCATGTACAGAACCTAATTATGTGGTGGAGTATCTTAAATTCAAAGTTGTCTTGGACTTGGGTAAATACAGTAAGTGGCCAAGGTAAACCCTAGGTTCCTCTTATGGTTTACCTGAACCTGACAAAAATACCCATTTTTTCATTTTCAACCATATCATGTCAAGTCCTCAGAACAGTTACCAAACCCTCAGTTTAATCATTATTCTCATTTACATACCTTGGGATTTTGACTAGACTTTTTTCATTTTATGTCCCCAGCAAATTCCTCATCGCCTCCCATCTGTCACCCCAATTAGGAAAGCACTGATGCCAGAATACAACCCAAATCCAAGATGACTCTGAATTTAAGATGACCCCCCAATAATTAGATTCTATCCATGGATAAGTTATAAATTTGTTATAATTTTCCACATATACAATCTAATTATTGGATGATCATATTAAAATGTATGCCCCACTACCACTGCAGGTAGTGTGGGGTGGCAGGCAGCTTGCTCTCTATCCCCCCCACCACCACTGGCCCCTCCTTGTGCCTACCACCTACCTCCCATAGCCTTGGGCCCCCACCCTTTCTCTCCCCCTCCATGTCTCCCTCTGCCAATTCCACCCCCTGCAGCCTTGGTTCCCCACCCCACCTTGCCTATTTCCCTCCTCACCTCCAAAGCCTCTTCCCCCGATTCACCCCTCCCCTGCTTATTCTTGCTTTGGTGAGCCATGAAACCTGAGCTCAGCTTTTCCAGGAATTCATCAGTAAGTGAGTGCCCATTGTTCTGGACACTAAAGCCCATTCCAGTATACTGCACCTACATTGTAAACATTGCCAAGATATCCTCTCTTTGACTGCCCCTCTTCCCCATCTCATCTGTTACACTTAGAAAGATGTCTCTTACCAAAGTCTCTGGACACCCTTGTGCACGTTTATCAGTACCCACATGCAGATGTCCTTTACGATTATGTCATATATTTAATTATATTATGATCACTCATGATTAATTACCTTCATATATGAAATTAAGGTCTTAGAGCTTATTCTGGATTTTCTATATATGGATTATAAAAGGAATAAGGGATCAACGTTCAAGAACTGTAATAGTCTTCAGTGCATATTCAAGACCTTCTGTGGGTCTCTATGCCAGAAGCGTCAAACCCATCTGGCCCCAAATTGCAGAATGAATGGCATATTGCTAGCCCCCTGGGTTAGGTTGGGTCTGTGGACTCACTTTCCTTCCCCCTGTATCCACCGCACTTATGCAACCGATTCGGGACAGCACCACATATGGTGCCCATGTGAGGCTGGTCCAGGAACACAGTGTGTGGAACGCTCGCTCAGGCTGGTCTGGGACTCTCACCTATACGCAATGAAGCACTGGGGGTTGCATGTTGGGCCTCCATGGGTCAAATGCAGCCTATGGACCTTATCTTTGACACTCCTTCTCTATGCATTTTTAAAAGTCTCCATGAGATCAGAAATTAATGCAACATTCCTGTGCTCCCCGATACATTTTCTAAGTTACAGCTGCAAACAGAAGTACATTCTAAAACTAAGACAATACTCTTAGTGTGAAGCACATGAGGTTTACTTGAAGACTGCATCATGGAATGTGCAAACTGGCTTATTTTCATTGAGTTTCAAATACAGAACACTGCTCCACAGCTAGTGGACATGGTACAAGCAGGCATAAAACTGTTCTATCACTCCTATTTTGCAAAAGAACAGTGAAGGAAGCAAAAAGCACTCGGGTACCTAAATACAATCTGGTGCCAAGGCATCAAAGTAGAGCAGATATGCAATAAAACAGTGCTCTCTCAAGCAGAAGCACTTATACCCCTTAACAACCTCAAAACCATTTGGCAAAAGACTCATCGTAGCAAAGGGGAAGGCCTATTGGATCCAAATTATACACTTTATTTCAAATCGGATTCCCAATGCAATTTATGCCGTGTTAGGCATATGTGATACTGTCCTGAACCTATGCCAAGCAGCATGCTGCCTCCTGGGCACAATCCTAAATGGGGCTATGCTATTGGTTCAACTGCCTGCAACGGCAGTCCAGAGCCTCAGACTATGCAACACTTGCTGCAATGCCTGCTGCTTGAAGCCACATGTACAATAAATGAACACAAGCATATGCAACAAAATGGTCAAATGTGGTGTAATACAAGAAGGAAGCACAATCCTAAGGGCAGAGGCTGTATGTATAGGACAAGCGATGAGCCAGTCAAGTTTCAGATTATATTCCCAATTTACCCAATTACTTAGAAGCCTTCTATTAAAAATTAAATTGAAATGTGCTTTGAAAGTTGCACCAAGTTCCATATTAAGCTAGTAGGAGTATGTGGTGGGGCAGGGCAGAGGTTTGCTTGTTTTGCTGCATAAACAGCTCCCATTCCAAACCTGGTAGAACAGCATAATAAGATGAAAATTAGGTTTAGAGCTGCAACTAGGAGGTACTCAGCCCTACAAAAGGTGTAGGAGTAGCTAACTGCCACCTGAAATCATCCTTCCCTCAAGTATCCCCAAACTCATGATCATCCATGGGAAAACCCCACCCTGTTCACCTGTGAACCCTATACTCCCATTCCTCCTCACCAGCCACATAAGCTCAGGAAAGGGGCTACTGGAACCCTGCCAAGTAGGAGCGGAGGCAAGCAAGTGAAGCAGGGGCTTTTGGATGCTGAAGTTGGGCTATTTTTTCAGGTTTTAATTTGGATGTTCTTTTCTTTGTATTGACTGGTTGCTCACGCCATTTCCCACCCGCATTATCCTCACTCCACTTGCCCCTCCTGATCCCCTTCTCCTACCTAACTTAACCCGTCCCTTCAATATCATTTTCCCTTCCTTTGTTTCCATTCATCTGAATATTCCCAATGAACCACACCAAAATCATTTTACTCCCTCCCAAAAACTAACCCGCCCAAATGCATGCAACTAACGTGACATTTGTAGACCTTTATCCTGTTCCCTCTGCTTTTGTTTTACAGCCCTTTACTCCTATTCTTGTCTATCAGATTCTAGAGCACAAGTTTCCCAGGGCAAGGATTGCCTTTTACTCTGGGTATAGCACCTGCCATGAGAGCCCAGAACTCTACAATGAAAATAACTCTACAAATGACAAACAATGGAGGAACCTATGGAGTTGCAAGGTGCATGATGTTTTCAAAAAGGGCTCACTCAGTACCACATGTACTACCTGAGAACTGATGTGATGCATTTGTGAAAGAACCCCAAGAACTCAGGAGTCTAGCAAGCTGAAACATGGAGGTCAGGCACAAGACTTGACAAGACAAGCAGGCACTGGAACAGCAA